GGCAGGCGGACCCTCAACCACTGCGCCACCAGGGAAGCTCTGCCTTTTTTTTTTAATTATTAAATTCTGTGCTTGAGCGGTGGTTGCTTCTTCCCTGCCACCTACAGAGCCTGCCGTGGTGGCACTTCTTGTTTCTCCTCTCGTGCCCTGCCCACTCAGTTCTCTCTTTTCTTCCTCCTGACCCCTCTGCTCGTCTCCCTGCGGCTTCTCTTCTTTGGAAACCTGAGTCCACTTCCTGCACGTGCACATTCTCCTTCGGGTCCTTGCTCCATGCAGTTGAAATTCAGGTCTTTCAGAATCCTCCTGTGGAGAACCGCCTCAGTGATGGAGAGCCCTGTGCCATCTCCCTGGAGCAGGATTAGTCACTATTTCAGCGCCCCCATTAACTACCCACACAGCACTTTTCATACTGTATTCTGATTAGTTGCAGGGCAGTGTTTCTCAGCTGGGAGTGATGTTGCCTCCCAGGGGACATGTGACAACATCTAGAGACATTTTTTATCATAGCTGGGGGAAGGGTGGGGCAGTGCTGCTGGTGTCTAGTGGGCAGAGACCAGGGATGCCGCTAAATGTCCTACAGTGCACAGGACGGCCCTACAACAGAAGCATCCAGCCTAAAATGTCAGTAGTGCCAAGGTCGAGAAAGGCTGTCATAGGGGTATCTGAGGTTCGTTCTTGTTAGGTAGTTCTTTGAGATGGAGACTGTATCTTACTCATGTTTGTACCTTACACACACACACACACCTTCCCATCTTGCCAGCGCCAAACACCCCCAGTTCATGAGGGACCCCTGTGTTAGCTGAGTCATGGCCATGCTGGTGACCCTAGCTAAAGCTCTGAGGGGTGTGTGCAGGCAGAGCACAGGCATCACCTCAGAACCGCCTAAGTGAGACATAGACCAGGATTGTTCTACTTTCAACTGTGAAAACCAGAGCCTCATCTTCCTCGATTAGGCTTTTTCTCTGTCGTGGATGTTGTTCAGTCACCTGGCATCAAAATGGGGGAGGGGGGGGCGCAGGTTCTTAGTCATTCATCTCTATTTCCCCTATTTTATTATTCTCTAACCCTTTTGGTTCTTCCTTTCAGTTGCCCCTACATTCCCACAGTCACCATTCGAGACCCAGCTGTCCTGACACTCGGTTTTGCATCTGGCTCTGGTGCTGTCACGTCGTCCCACTGCTTAAACCCATCAGTGCTGGCCTGCCTTTCTCTCCCAGACATGGAGCCCACCTCGGGTCCTTAGTCCCCAGACTCCTCGCTCCTGTCCCCCAGCACCGTCTCCTTTCTGTGTTTCGGGAACGTGAGGAGGTCCTTTTCCTCTCCAGGCCCTTACGAGTTTATCTTCTTTTATGTGAAGTCCGTTCATCATGCAGAGCCTGGCTGAAATCTACCTCCTGAAGTTTTCCTTGCCTGACCTCTGACCTCTGCTCATCCCTACTCTCCCTGCATCCCTGCACTAAATAAATAAGCCTTTTAGAGTATGCTCTGATATGTACGCCGTCTTGTTGGTGGTTTCTTGCCAGTTGTTGGTGGCATTTCAGTATAGGACTGTCTTAATGTTTCCAAGTGGATTTTAAGCTTCAAGAAGCTTCAGGAAGAGGCCAGGTTTTCCTACTGCAGGGCCCCCAGGAGTCCCAGTGCAACACTGCAGGAGGCAGAGTGACTTTCTTAAGCTGAGCCGCAGTGGAGGCTGCAGCAGGTGGGGAGGCCCTCCGCCTCAGGCTCACAGAACACATGGTCCTCACAGAAGCTGAATGTGGAGGGCCTTCTCTCCAGCTGTTTAGGAAGGGAAACAGATTCAGAGACCTTAAGTACTTTGACCAAAAGCGGCAGCCAAGATGCAGTGATGTGAGTGCTTGACGACTCCAGGTGACTAAGTGCTGTACCCACTGCCCAGCCTCCAGGCTCTCCAGACTCAACGCCCTCTCTACCTTTGTGAGGACGCCCATGTGGTCCAGGCATAACCTGATCCAGCAACTTAATTAGCACATGATTTAACCAACTGCCCTTTTAAAATTAGAGATGCTAAAAATCTTATGTATCCTCAGAAAGAAGGAATGTGTGTATATGTGCGTGTGTGGGTGGGTGGCGGGGGGGGGGGGGTTCTAAAATTTAAGTGTATCAGAAATTTTCAAACTAAATTAATGAAAATATTGTTGGTTTATGTTTTAAATTCATAAAGCATTTGTCTTCAAAGAAGGTAGAGCACTTTTTGTCTCATTTATATTTGTAATATTTCTGAATTATCTTGATTGTTTTATGGGATTCAGCAGTAGTTATGAAATAGCAATTTCTTTTTTTTCCCTTATGTTGTGTGTGTTAACATTTGTAAATAAGAGTTTTTCTTATTTCTAGGTACAGATTTATGAATTAGAGGAACATAAGATTGAAACATGGAGGGGTAAGCACTGTTGAGTGTTAAAAACCTTTTAATATGAGGAAAAAAACGTTCTACATATGTATAAAATGTTTTAATTTCACAGGTCCTCTTCTCTCTGCTTAATAATTAACTACATTAAGACATTTATTTCTATATTAATTTTGATAGTATGCCATACTACTATAAATATTACCCATTCTGTTTAGTACACACGTATAGAGAACCTATAACAAGTCTTTAGACTAAGGCCGGGATATAGATGGGATATAGTAACCAGTGCCCGAGTCTCTGGCCCCCAGTGGAGCCACCATTCACCACTAAGTATTACCTTCCAAATCTTTGCCCTTGTATATAGAAAATGCACCAAACGAATGCCTGAAATTAACAAAAGCAAGGATCTGTCCCTACTTAGATTCAATCATTATTTCTTTACATTATTATTATTTCTTTACAAATTATGGAGACAAGTAGAAGAGGTGAAACTTAAACTAGGTGATTTGGATAAAATCACACGAAAATCACTTCAAGATTTTGCTGGCTTTCGTTTGCAGCATTGAAATTCACGCTTTATAATCACAATACCCTTTTCTGAAATGGAGCCGTTTTTTAAATTGTAATTTCATGACTGTGAAATTGTTCAGTCTTAATGAGACCCATCCTGCTGGGTTGGTACAGAGGGGGCAAAGGACCAATCAGTAAGGATATCCTAGATAGGAGCCTGTGATGGGGATCCTTGAGGAAGAAGCCTTTGTAGGGTGTTCGGGGAGAAGCCTACATTAGAAATTGAGGGGCCAACTCAAGGAAATTTTTTAATTTAAAACTGAGATTTAGCTTTGTACTCGCACTATCTGCTTGGTATGATAAGCACCCCTTGTGACCGGCTGCGAGATCTGAACATCCGTTAGAATGCTCTAAAGAGAGCTGGGCCTCTTTTAATCCCATATGATTTAGAAGTTTCATTGAACGATATATTTGATTTATGATAGCTTTATCACGTCAAACCAAACAAAGTAAGTCAACATGGGATCCACATTTTAGCACTGCCTATTATGCAGTGAATATATATATTTTAACACCAAGACAGAGACTTTGTAATAAATTCTATTGAATAAGTAATGTTAGACCAAGGCTTAAGTATATTTACATTTTGATATTACATGGTATTTGGTAGTAATAATAATAATAATAATAATGTCAAGATTTTCTTGAATGCCTTCTGTGTAGAAACCTCAGTAAAGCAAATTACAGTTTATCTTTACAAAGATAATGTCTACATACTAGAAAGATCCCCAGATACAGTAGATCAGGCTTTGGTGTGGAAAATAAAACTTAATAACATTTAAAGAACAAAGTTTGTTATAACTTTTATTTTATCTTTTAACTTGTGAAAATGAGTTTTAAAGGATTTCATAGTCTTCCTTTCTTGAGGGTGATAGTGACTTGGTAACATTCTAGTGACCTCTGCTGGCATTGCTCTTTTATCAGATTTCTTGACTTTTCTTCTGATTTTTACATCTATTGTAATACTGTTTTTAAACACTTAACTTTTCCACAAAGGCAACATCCTGAAACAGTTTGGAAGTTGTTTAATAATAGCCATAACTATAAGTAACACAATAGTGTTCAGTAAATTAATTCGATTTGGGTTTTTAATCCTTCTAATTATTACCTGTAAATTGAAGGGTATTTTAATTTATGTAATAATTACAAACAGCAAATATGTTACTAATTACATATTTTCTTTCTATAAATACAGAGCTTTATTTACAAGAAACATTTAAGCCTTTAGTGAATATATCTCCAGATGCAAGGTAAACTTGTAAAATTTTTCTCCTTTGAAAACATTCCATTCATTCACATTCATCTGTTTTGTTACCATGGGTGATAAGATTTTTTTCTTTTTTAATCTAGATAGGGGCCAGCCTCCTTAATATTAAATTCAGTAAACTTAGAGACAGTAGAAATCACAGCCATTGTTGGTCCAAAGGACTGATAATGAACTAGGAAGATGGTCATACTGAGCAGTTTGAAAATCCAGATCACCTGCAGCAGAAACCCACTGGGGAGCTCATTAAAGCTGCAGATTTCTGGGCTCTTCTCCCAGTCAGTCTTTGGAGGGTTTTAGTGCCCCGGAATGTGCATTAAAACAACTCCCCCAGGGGTCCCAACATGCACTGAAGTTGAAAAATCAGTCTCCTTAGGCACTGGTCCAGAGGTGGTCAGAGGATGGGGCTGCCCACAAGTGTTGACCCAAGCCTTCCGGGACAGCTCGGATACATTTTCAGAAATAAAAGCATTCTTAAAACTAGTGCACTAGTGAGAAAAGGTGGAATATTGATTCTTATTATTTTATTTCCAAGTCCTAAAAAACAGCTCCACCCAGCACACCTCCTTGTCGGCAGTCACAGGAGAGGCTGGAGCAGCCAGCAGTGGGCTGTGTGAAGTCAGAGCGGCCAGTGCAGGGGGCCCCGGCCACAGCGCCCTCTGTTGCCAGGGTCGTCCATTAGCTTCCCGAGGGGTTAGCTTCTGTCATTTCTCAAATAAAAGCATCAAACCTGCTATTAAAAAACTGCTCTCCTAGAGATTTTTGTAGTCCACACTTGGATTTGAGGCTTATTAACAGATTATGGAAAATCGAAAATTTTGCTGAGATCTCCAGTTTAAAACTTGTTCTGGAACGCTGTTTTACGTCAGTCAACCTTTTAATATTGTAATTTAAAGACACAAAGTACGTTTAAAGCAGGGGTGGTCCAAAGTTTTCTAATTCTTCTTTAAAGCCTCCTAACAACTGTAATGGCTTTTCCCGCAGCCTCTTCGATGCTGTACACTCGTTGATCAAAAATAAAATCCACAGATTGCCAGTTATTGACCCTATCAGTGGGAATGCACTTTATATACTTACCCACAAAAGAATCCTCAAGTTCCTCCAGCTTTTTGTAAGTAGTTTTTAGTGTTTCTAAAGACATAGCTGCATCTACTTTAATTTACTTCAAGTAAATTGGCTCCTGTTACCCTCATAGAAGAAATCGTTAGTTTTGAGGTCTCCATTTCTAAACTTCAGTTTCTCAACTCACTACTATTTGAACTGTACATTCTCAAAGTTGATTCCAGTTAAAAAGTAATCACCTTTCAGTGCAAGTAAAAACACTTGGAATTCTCTATTTAAGTGAGAATATTTTATCACCTAAAATGAGGAGAAGCAAAGCAGTTCGCGAGTCAGTCTGATAGCTTGAGCCAGACTGCCTTATGGTGCTTTACTGGTGTCATGGCTGGGGACATGCTCAGAAGTCCTGGCCCCAGGATGGTCTTATTATTTACTGCAGCAGTGATAGAAAAGCCCAAAGCAAATAAAATTTTGACAACAGAATACCATGTTGGTCCAAATCAGGGCTATACTGTCTGTAGGTTTTCTCAACTGCATCGGAAATGAGATGGCTTCCTAATCGTCCAAAACTCAGAACCTCTTTGGTCGGCAGTATTAAAAAGAGGCTCAGAAGGGCCAGAATGTTCACAGGAGGGCTTCAAGTTTTTCCTTTTAATTACATGCACTGAAGTTGAGGTTATAAGTAATTGGTCAACTAGAACCAGTAAGAGGCCTCATCCATGGTTCAGAAGAGATCATATTAAGAATCATTTTTTTAAAAGAATTTAGTAAACATTAAACATCTACGTCAAGTTAGCTTTCCTGTCTTCTCCACAGCTTCAAATAAGGAAATAAAGCAGCATTCTAGTGTGGCGTGAAGGAGCCCAGGCTGCTCCGACAGCAGCGCAGAGGGTTTAAGTGATTGGGAGAAATGCCTTGTCCATCAAACCAGCCCTATATTTTAATAGTCTGTGTAAATGTAACACTCATCATGTTTAAATAAACACTAAGAAAGAATGTAGGAAGGAGGGTGATTTACAAACAAGCATGAAGTTTGGTAAAGAGGCAGTCTAGGGAAGAATAATCAAGGAGGCGGGGACATTGTTGGCCAGACTTCCTGTCTGCCGTGGGCTGAATGCATGCAGTCGCCTTGGCACTGAGCTCTAACAGGACCCAGGGCCCAGGACCCAGGGCGGGGCTGTACCAGGCTCTTAGCCCACGTACCCCTTAGAGTGGCCATTTTAAAACAGTACTAATCATGAGAGGAGCTAAACACTGTTAAGCATTACGCTGTGTCAGGCACTTCACATGATAAATCTAATCCTAGCCACCACCCTCTCAGGTAGGTATTTTTATTCATCTGATTTGGAAGCGATAACATTCAGCAAGGTTGCGTAGCTTTGCCACGGTTGCCGGTGGCGGTGGTGGAGCAAACCTCCCTCTAACAGCTCCGTGCATCCGTGTCCAGAGGCGGCTTAGATCCTCGGGCTCAGGGCGCCTGGCTCCCAGGGCCGACGGCGCCCGGAAGCACTTAGCATTTCCGTGGCCGCGCTGCCGACGGGGAGGCACAGCCTGAGACAGGCCTTTGGCATCTTCTCCTCTACGACAAGTAGAGGAGGTGGCCTCTGCCGGTACTGCCTTATATTTGGGCCAATATGGTCATTAGAATCATGCTGTTAGAATATTCAGCTAGGGGTTTTCAGATAAAAATGAAGAATTTTAAATAAACTCCAGAGCCTGATTTTTACTGCCTTGAGATCATGTTCCGAGAAAAAGTAGCGTTGCCCTTAGAGACATTTGACAGTCAGCCTAAGTGTGCAATGGAACAGGGGTTTATCCTGCATCGAGATGGGCTAGATGACCTAATAGGTCTTTCTTTTTTTCTCTCTAAATTTCTAGGATTCTCATGATTTGAATATTGATGAACTCTTTGACTTGAACATTTTGTTTCTTCTAATTGTTCATCTTTTCCCGATAATTATAAGGTACACCAGGAGGATGGAATCAACTGTACCCTTTATAAAAGGTGGATTTTTGAAACCATAGACCTTATTTTGTTTTAGTCAAACATGATCCTAGACTTCTCTCTTCTGACTTCTCCCTCCTCCTTTAAAACGGCCCGTGAAAAGAAAAGTTAAATTTTAAATGTTCTTTTAATTCTGTTCAGTCGGCTTGTTCTTGTTCCTAGTAGACAAAAATTGGAGTCCTCCAATGGAGAATTCAGGATGTAGAGGTGGGATGGTGTGGGAACTAGCTTAGCAGCTCAGACAGCCACCATCAAACACTTTGGGTTTGGAGATGTGTGGGTTCTTAATAAACATTACTTAATGATGACAGCAGGACAATGAATTTAACATGAATAATTTAAGAAGATTCTTGGTGGCTGATGGGTCTTAATTTCCAGATAGACCTGTTGTTCCCTTCTGTCTGGTTTTCCAGTGGGTGAAGAGCAGGAGAAAATGTTACAATGTTAGTGCTTTGCAGTATTTTTACTAAGTAGTTAAATATAAGCATAAACATATAAGCTGGTTTGAACAAAAGACACAGTTCTTGTATGTAACATTTTCATGTTAATTCAGATATCCGGGTGGATTAGAAAAGACTAATTTGTTGCACATAGTTTTTCATCGAATGTGGACATGTGAACACTGAAAAGGTCTGCTCTGGCTCTAGAGCATCTGTGCCCGTCTTCCTGTCTAGATGTCTGATATGCCAAAGCCTGCTTTCATGAAGCAGAACCTGGGTGCACTCGGAATCGGGACCTACCACAACATCGCCTTCATACACCCAGACACTCCCATCATTAAAGCCTTGAACGTCTTCGTGGAAAGACGAGTGTCAGCCTTGCCTGTTGTGGACGAGTCAGGTCTGTGTGCTGGGCCATACCAGTTGAACAGAAACAACGGTGTATCTCCTTAGGGTAAAACTATTGTTAAATGACCTGGCATATCAGATAAGTGGGGAAATGAAAACTTAGACCAAGGAGTACTCAGGAGAATAAGAATTTTATACTGGCTTATTTTCACATTTTCCATTAAGATATGATTTCATGTCCCCTTTAAAATAGTCGTTTATTTTGTTTAGCAATATTTAATTCTTAGTAAATATCTAGTTAAGATTGATATTAAATGCTGTTTTTTGTTTCTAAGACATTATTCTAACATATATTTTTATTTTTAGGAAAAGTTGTAGATATTTATTCCAAATTTGATGTAATTGTAAGTATTTTTAATTTTGTTAAACCTGTCATCTAGAATGCATTTAAAGCATATTCATTAGTCTGTTTTTTGTGACTTTTCCTATTTTAATAATTCCTAGCTTCTTTGAGGACGAGGACCTTATCAGAGAATTCCATAGACTCCCCAACAGTAATTGTACTTTTAATATTCATTGGTTTAGCAGTGAATAACATATTAGTAGCATTTTATTTTTTTAACTTTTTATTTTATATTGGAATATAGCTGATTAACAATGTTGTGACAGCTTCAGATGCACAGCAAAGTGACTCGGCCATACATATACATGTATCCATTCTCCCCCAGACTCCGCTCCCATCCAGGCTGCCACATAACATTGAGCAGAGTTCCCTCTGCTATACAGTAGGTCCTTGTTGGTTATCCTTTTCAAATATAACAGTGTGTACCTGTCAATCCCCAAATCCCTAACTATCCCTTCCCTCCACCTCCCCCCCTGCCCCGTAATCATAAGTTCATTCTCTAAGTCTGTGAGTCCGTTTCTGTTTTGAAAATACATTCATTTGTACCATTTCTTTTTAGATTCCCCATATAAGCGATATCATCCGATATTTCTCTTTCTCTGACTTACTTCACTCAGCATGACAGTCTCTAGGTCCATCCATGTTGCTGCAATGGCATTATTTCATTCTTTTTTATGGCTGAGAAATATTCCATTGTATGTATGTACCACATCTTCTTTATCCATTCCTCTGTCGATGGACATTTAGGTTGCTTCCATGTCTTGGCTATCGTAAACAGTGCTGCAATGAACATTGGGGTGCATTGTATCCTTTTGGACCATGTTTTTCTCCGGATATATGCCCAGGAGTGGGATTGCAGGGTTGTATAGTAGCTCTATTTTTAGTTTTTTAAGGACCCTCCATACTGTTCTCCATAGTGGCTGCACCAATTTACATTCCCACCAACAGTGTAGGAGGGTTCCCTTCTCTCCACACCCTCTCCAGCATTTACTGTTTCTGGATTTTTTGATGATGGCCATTCTCACTGGTGTGAGGTGATACCCCATTGTAGTTTTGATTTGCATTTCTCTAATCATTAGCGATGGTGACCATCTTTTCACGTGCCTCTTTGCCATCTGTATGTCTTCCTTAGAAAAATGTCTATTTGGGTCTTATGCCTTTTTTTTTTTTTTTTTTTTTTT